ATTGGCATAAGATGACTAAACTGTTTCATTCTAACGGGAACGGCTTAACCTTCCGACACCCTGTGGACAACGCAAAGATACGTCGCTCTTCGCCATGCGGCAGTTCCCGATCGGCTTTAAACGTTCCGGCCAGCCCGAGCTAATTTAGTATGTGGAGGAACCAAGATCTACCTGTTCTCTACGTTTCAAGTTAGTACCGCTCGCGTCTTCGCTGAGATGCGCCTCCGACACATTGGAGACTTCGGAGCCGAGTCATAAAAACATGGTGCGATAAAATGAAATCCATCCTACTTTGAAGATACCGATAGCAAACACTGGACCTCATGCTATAAAAGAGATAGACCTTCACCTGGATCTTGCGCACAACTACACGCACTTCTGGACACATAATACTTGGTCGGATTTTCTCAACATGTCAGGATTGAATCACCCCGAGTATTTGAACAGTTTCATTATTGAAGACGTCAAAATCTTCAATGGACATAATTTTATCGCCAACGGTTTTGTCGTTGTTAAGAACGGTCTCATCGCCCATGTTGGCAGCTGCAAGCCAGTTGAGACCAATCAAAGAGATATCGTGAGAATCTCTCGACCTCAACATACACTGATTCCCGGATTGATTGATGCCCATATTCACGCCCTCAAAGGTAACACAGACAGTGTTGAGCAATCGTTGCGCTTCGGAGTTACAACTGTGTGCGATATGCACAATGAGATAGAAGATATCGACCGTTTGAAGAAGGTTGGCGCCTGCTTTGGCTACCTAAGTGAACATTGTGAAAGACCAACGGTGGATAGAGTTGGTCAGGGACCTCCAGAACCTCAACAGGTATACAGATTACAAGTACGCTGGACTCGGAGCGATCATCGAGGGAGGATGGCCCATGCCTATCATGAAGAAGGAGCTCAAGTCAGTTCCTCAAGGCAGAAAGATACTCGACACTATTGTTTCCGGTTGGCCCAAGTTAAAGGCAAACCGCGACGCAAAGCTGTTTGTCCAGCAACAGGTTGACGGGCATGGGGCATCGTATATCAAGATGTTTCACGAACTCGGAGATACAATCGGCATGAAACTGCCGCCGCCTCCCCGAGATGTGCAAGTTGCTGTAGTCGAAGCTGCTCACAACGCTGGCGTTATCGCTGTTGGTCATGCATTTAGCTATGAAGGCGCCGTGGCGCTTCTCGAAGCTGGAGTCGATGGTCTGACGCACGTCTTTTTCGACGAACCCCCAAACGATGACTTCATTCGGATTATGAAAGCAGGCAATATCCACTGCAACCCGACACTAGGCCTGTGTGCATCGCAAACCTCTGAGCGACAGGAATGGCACCAAGCTTTCAGAACAGACCCCTTCGCCGAGAGGATGATGATTCAGAAAGCGGCTGATAGACCAATCGGCCTTGCCAAGGATGAGCGTCCAAAGGCTGCTGTTCAACATGCCTACGAAACTACAAAGAAGATGTACAGAGCTGGCGTTCCCTTGATCGTCGGGAGCGACTGTGCTGGAAAGGGACTTGGCGTAACCTACGGTCTTGGTATACACATTGAGATGTACTTGTTTTCCCATGAAATCGGCATGTCGCCTGATGATGTTCTCAAATCTGCGACGTCCACCATAGCTGCTCGTTTCGGTTTTGGTGATAGAGGACAGATTTTGGTTGGGAAGAGAGCGGACCTGGTACTTGTGGAGGGTGATGTCGCGGAGGTGCTGTCGGATCCGAAGAAGCGCTGTGTACCGATCGCGGGCGTATGGAGAGATGGCGTCCTGGCATCTGTTTATACGCGCAATTATCCAGAGTGTAACTAATGTTTGTCGGATGCATCTCTAATCTCTCGATTCCTCAGCACATGCATTAGACGCGACGCGTCGTCCCCAGATTCGAGATCCACTTATCTAGCAGCCGAGCCGAGGTAAACCCACTTTGAACCGAGCTCAATGATGCAGTAGTCAAGATGTCGGAGCCATCTCTAAAAACCAGCGTCCCCCTTGATTGACATTTACAACTTCATATTTACAACTTTAATTAGAATGGCACCCACCCTCGCAGATCAGGTCGCAGTAGACCAAGTCAGCCAAGGAGAATATGTCTCCCGCCTCAACCCCATCCGCATGGGCAACGCCGCCCCAATCGCCTACGGAGGTTGTACAGCAGGCGTAGCTGTAAACGCAGCATGTCAAACAGCGCCTCCCACAATGTCGCTCTACTCAGTCGTCGGTCATTTCCATGGTCCTGCATCAACAGACCAAAAATTGCACTGCAGTGTAACCAACACCAGAGACACAAGGTCTTTTGCCACGCGCAGAGTTCAGGTCAAGCAGCAACAGCCCAATGGCAAGTTTCGCGTCTGCATGGAGATCTTGGCCGACTTTCACGTCAGGGAGACGTCGGATTGGGAATACTCTGAGGCGACGTGCTCAAAGTGGCCCAGAGCTGAGGACTGTCCGAATGTGCAGACTTTGGTGAAGGATCTCTTGGAGAAGGGGAATATTACTGAGGATCAGGGTCAGGCTTTTATAAAGACCTTTGCTGCAAACGCCGAATTTTTCGAGACGCGATACTGCACAGACGGCGTTTCAGCCCAGAACCTAACTGGCGCCGCCAAAGCAACCAAGACAACACAAGAAGACCGCTCCATCACCGATAAAGTATCCGCAGAATGGCAGCGCACTCTCAAACCGCTTGACAACCAAATCGAGCACATGAGCGCCCTGGCTTTTCTAATGGACGGCGCGCTTTCCTTCTTACCACTTACGCATAACCACATGTGGTTTGACGACACGACTGCCTGCTCGACGCTGGACTTTGCGCTACGCATCTTCGTGCCGGAGATCAATATGAGCGAGTGGTACCTGAAGGAGCGCAAGACATCAAGAGGTGGAGGAAACAGGACTTATTCTGAGGGGAAGTTGTTTGATAAGCATGGCAATTTGATTGCGTCAAATACGCAGCAATCCATCATGAGATTGAGGCCGGGTGTTAGTGTGGCCAAGTTGTAATTGTATTTGTTAGGCCTAGACGAGTTTTAGAGAGCATCAAGAAATTTGATCATTGTACGAGCTATGCATATGCCTATTAATGAATGACTTTTTACACCTCGGTCCTTTTCTTAGCCACTAAGGGCATCACCATACGCCGTCCTATTCTACCCCGTGGCACAGATGCCGTACCCAGCCACCCTCTAGCGGCGTCGTGGCATAAAATGTGATAGTCCTCCCCTCTTGGCCAATCGGCTTCTGTCCCGGTTCAAATGGGCCTTTGGGCCAGTAGGTGGTCGCGTGCCAGTGGAAGGTGTGACAATTGATGAAGTCGGCTTTGAGATCTGCTGAAGCCCATTCGGGGTCGGTCCCATTGGGGCATACTGTGCTCTAGGAGTTGGCGGAATGGAAGAGTCATGGTGATTCCATTCCCTCTCGAGCCCAAGCCCTGAATCACGACGCTTCGACTCGCTCCAAGTCTCGTAGGGCCGGTTGTCGATCTCTTCCCTCGGATTCCTAGGTTCGGGCGAGTAGTGATCATTGCTTCGGCGATGAACTCGTCGTTTGGTGGGCGGCTTCTCGTCAACCGCACGAGTGCGCTCTTGATCAGTCGACATGATTTTCTGTTTCATCGGACGGTTATTGGGCTCGGGAGAAGGGACCCTGGCGGGTGCAGCGATATCTGGCTTCACGGACTCCTGCTCGAGGTGCTCCGCGAACTCACCCTCTGACCCGCAAACTGAATCACGCTTCGAAGTAAGGGTATTGTCATCGACGAACAAACCAGATTGTTCAACTTCGGGAGAACTGTGATTCGTATCATCGGATCCATCGGGAAGGGTCTCATCGTTTGAGTCAGTAGTTCGAGTGATGCCGGCTTGATAGTTCTTGTAATTGAGCAGAAACTCATCAACTTGGCGCTTGTGGGGGATACTACTATCGCTAGGATCGTACCGACACATCTCGGTAACGGGGACCCATCCATAATTGCATTTCCACGGGTACTCGACCGCATCAAAGTACATAATTGGATACTCTCGCTGAGCTGCCTGTGTCCCGCCAAGCTTGTAAGCATCGGCGAACCCCACGGCACCTGTGCAAGGATCGTATTCGCAGGACGCTGGGATTTCATCAGGGAACTTGAGATGTGGTGTATCCTCCAGCGACGACCCTTCCCATCCTGGAATGCCCAATGCGCGAAAGTTATCCCATGGAAGGATAAGAATAGCGTAGTGACGTTTATCCTTTGGCCAAAATGCAGTGTACACCTCTCCAGGCTGAGGGTCAACCCGAGGGGCAAGGACACTCTGGGAATACCGAGTTTGTGGAGAATTGAACGGGTAATCTGTCAGATCCTCTGGAGGATAGAATTCACTATCCGGATGGCCCTGCTCGTCATACGAAGGCCTGAGAGCTACAGAATTGTTCAATTCCATGAGACCCTCGTCGCAGCTAAGCACCACCCTTCCGAACAATCTGATGGCCGTCTCAGTTGTTGGGGACGAGTCCGGGTGAGATGAGCCTTTGAGATGGCTTCTGGCGCCGTTCAACGGACTCTTAGTAGCGAACACCTTGTTGTGCTGTTCGCACTCCACCACATAATAACCACCCTTATAGAACTCTATGACAAACTTTTTCGTGGCTCTACCATGCTGATATACTTCATCAAACTCGATCGTCCTGTCGGTCAAGGACACAGAAGACTCGGGACGTCGACGCTTGTTCGTCGTAGGCTGTTCAGGGTTTGGTGACATGGCTCGCTTTTGTGTTTTCACATCTTGCTGGGTCTCGCCTCCTCTGAATGGAACAACCTCGATTGACTGATTTGCTTCGTACGCACGGTGAGGTGGCGGGGTTGTCGTACTTGTGTCTAGAGCTGGTTGCTGATCCTCACTAGACAAGAGCGGAGACTGAATGTCGGATTCGATGTTGGCAGGAGGAGGCTCATCGTCCATCGGCGCTGGTTGTTCGGCTAGCCACTCGGCGATAAGATGCCTGGGAATCAACCGACCAAGTGTGTTCATGAGATCCTGCACCATGAACTTCTCAACGTCCTTGTACTTGTGCTGGTACTCAATCTCTTGTTGATCCACAGTCTCCTTCTGATCTTTGACCCTTTTAAGATCCTCTCCACAAGCAAGCATATGATCTAGTCCACCTGCTGATGGGCTATCGATACCTTCCTGTTCCCATGTGCGATATGCATCTTTGCAACGTTTGGCTGCATCATTGAACTTTATCAAGTAGCTCTCTTTCGGGGATTGAGGTGGGTGTGCTTTAGAGATCCATCGTTCGCAAAAGTTGTTGAATTGAGAAACTATCTCGGCCGGCTTGGGGTCGTTCATGTTGAATTAACTAGCAGGCGGATCTCCGAAGAACAGGGCTGCAGGTCAAACCATAAATGTACGTCGTGTGATGGATCACGGGTGTTTTGAGTAAGAGAGGTTCGCTACAAAATAGAAGGTGATCATGGAAATAATTATGAGTCTTTGGTAGAGAAGTTATTGTCTTATTAAGATGGGAGACGGATATCACGTAGGCGGGTAGTGGAAGGATCATCCTCCAAAATTAAGGCTACCATAAAAAAGTAGCACAAGTGCTTGTCTACGCCGACATAAAGCGACTAAATTATTTC